GATTTTATGCGGTGAAATTGCGGGAAGTTGCGAAATATGCTAAATATGCGGGGAAAAAGAATAACAATTTTTTTAAATATAGAATAAATAAGACAGCTCAATATTTAAAAAAATTGTTATTCTTTTTCCCCGCATATTTAGCATATTTCGCAACTTCCCGCAATTTCACCGCATAAAATCACATAAAACCCCGCATATTTAATCGCATAATCAAGGATTTTAGCCCGCATAATCAAGAAATTTAGCCCGCATAATCAAGGATTTTTGCCCTCGTTTTTCTGGAGGGTCTAGAATAATTGTAAGTCTCGGTGATGTTCTCCATGTTGTATTCTATAATGTAAATCAGGCCCTGTTTTTTTGTGTTGCCTAGACAGACAGATGGTTGGAAAGGAACCCTGCTGAAACTCACTTTCACTGACCGCTCAGACTGACAGCAGCATCCACAGCTTCACCATCATGAAGCAGCTGGACTGTTAGCAGGGTGGAACAGTGACAATAAAAAGGGAAACCTTGCATAAATTATCCTTCTCTAAGCCCTATCTAATGTTTCTTTCCTTTAAACAAGTGTTAAAGGAAACACTCAGAGATATACATAAATGGAAATACATGGCCTTTCATAATTGTAAATCATACAATTTGGAAGTGTTTGAAACCAAATCAGTCTGTCTTTAAGTCCTCTGGAGAAAAGCTTGACCAGTGCAGTCATCTGTCTATTGGAGGAGCTGGGTGATGAACAAATGAGCATACATTACAAGCATTTTTACACATAAATATCAAATACAAAGGCAGATGAGAAAGAGCCTTGTCAGTAAAGCTTTTGACCATGCAACGTTCAGTACCTTAAAAAAACAAAACACCAATAATCAGGAACACAGCTTAGTCCACCAGACACACAAAACAATGTCAAATATATACACAATACAATAAAAATATCACTTTTTCTGCAAGAGCACAAGTTACCATATTTTTTACAGCTAAAGTTGTACCATTAGTCCAGCACATTAAGATGTGTACAGGTAGCTTGAAGGGAGGAAAAGCAACTATTGCTACAACACTACGAGGTCATCAGAAGTATTTAAATACACCATTGAAATAGAAGCTGTAAAAATAATATACTCCGAATACATTTATATAATTATATACATATAGGTTAAATACTGATCATTCTGAATCCCTGGATTGCTGAAAACGTCCTTTGTCGATTGAGGCAGCTAGCTTAGTCGTCTGAACCTCCGCTAACAGTTTCCACTGCAGTTCTGGAAATTGTGCTTCACATTTCAGCTGTGTCTATTTCACGGTTTTGCCAATAAAAGCTGGGAGAAGCAGAAAGAAGACTGGTTTGTTGAATTAAAGGAAAAGTTTAACATCTTGAGAAAATGTGCCTATTTGCTGTAGATTGATTAGCTAATCTTAGCATAGCATAAAGACTATGTGCAACACACAAATCAAAGAAAGATTTTCTGTTTAAATTACATTGAAGGGGTTCTGGTCACGTGTTGTTTGCTCTTTTAACTTTAGAAAAAGCCTGGCTAGCCATTTCCCCCTGCCTCCAGTCTTTACGCTAATCTAAAATAAGCTAAACTTAGCTAAGGAACTTCTAGCTCCAGTTGAATACTTGGCCTACACATGGGTGGTATTAAAATGATCATCTAACTCACGCAAATTGTCCAAATTGTTCAACTATTCTCTTGAGTCTGAAATGAATTTGATGCCACATGAAACACCTTTTCCGTTTTTAGTTACAGGCTTTAGATCCAATATCTATGGTCTGTAGGCCTACAGCTTCCTGTGAACAGTGATTAGAGAGCTATTGACAATGTCTTGTTTTCAATTCTGACTGATGTATGTATTCCTGTGTGATGTTGTCTGGACATCTCACACAATGCAGAACGTAAATACATTTCAAGCCACATTCTTTCAAATGTATCTTTAAGAGGTGTCAATGGCGGCTGTTTCTCTGTCAACTCAGTCCACAGTTCATATATTATTTACTGCTTGAACTTTAATGACAATTCACACTACTGCCTGCCTCATAAGTGCATTATTGTTGAACAACATTTAGGGTTTCATATCTCAATAAAAAAGCTCTCTGCTGCCTTAAAAAGTAAAATCCACCCTTAAACAGAATGATCACACCTTCCTTGTATGATCTCGTTAGCTTTTACTAAACACTGTGTTTACATGCTGGAAAACAGACGGTATGAGCTAGACATTCAAGAGTTTTCCCATTCTGCACTTGAGACCATTAATGGTCAGTAAAACATCAGAATGTATTTTTGCTATGGCCAAAAGTGTAAGACGGCATGGTTTTGTTTTCTTGGCGCAATATCTAATATAAGTACCTAATTAAATAACTTAGTTGGAAACAAATTCTTAATAGGAATGCTTAATTCATCCCATTAGTTTTTCCAACAACTGCATAAATATTGAATTATCCAGTGTCCAAATACTGCGTCAGAACCCCGTTTTTTTTGGAGGGAATCACTGGTATGTTATCGTACAAGTGAATACATTTGTCTACCAGTAACTTCACTTTAACAAATGTTGGCAGCATTGGCTTAGAGTAGAGCCCCATAGTACCTAGGATAAATATGTACCGGCTTAAAACAGAATATACCGCAGCCTGTTTCAATCTGAAAAACAACTTTTCATAACATCATAGAGGTTATCCTGTTGGTTGTCAACACTGTATCACGATCACAAGAGGGGATGCATTTTATTTCAGGGTGGATTCTCCTCTAGACGTACCACCTTCACACAATTAAGGCACCTTTTAAACCCCTGAGGGGTCAATGGGTTCTTCTAATAAGAAGAGAAGCAACAATAATAACATGGAACACAAAACCGGACTGAAACAAAACAACAACATAAAGTAAGACAGTCGACAAAAAAAGTCAAATAAAAACATTACGGAATGTCTATGGGTAAGGTACAAACGCCAGAAGTGCCCCGTTGCAACTCTTCTCCTCTCATCCTTTATTGTTTTTACAGCAGCACCATGCCATCCTCTCATAGAAACCCTGTGTCTGTATCCTGAAGCACCTTGATCAGTAGAGAAGGTCTTCTCCAAACCCTGTCAGGCTTTGTGAGTGTGTGTCTGTAGTAGGAGTCAGTACCCAACATTGAGCTTGTTCTTGTTGAGCTCTCTCTCCAGGTTTCCTATCAGAGTGTCGATGCTCTCCTGCAGGTCCTTCAGGTTGACTCTGTTGCTCAGCACAGGGCTGATGTCCTGGATCTTCATGTAGGCCTGATAGGTGTGCTCTTTGGGCAGGAGAGGGGGAAGGATGTGGTTGCAAACCCTCTCCTCCTCATTGTCCTCTAAAGTTTGCACATTGCCTGAACTGTCACTCTCTTCTTGCGTCTCCTCCTCTTCTTTCTCATTTTCCCTGTCCTCCTTCACCTCTTGTTCTCTCTCAGGTTGCTCCTGCTCTGCAGAATCAGACTCAGGGCAGGTAACGATCTGCTCTTTATCTTCCTCTGGGTCTTCTTCAGGATTCTCCTGCTCCTCTTCAGCTGCCTCTGTATACTCTGAGGGCACGTCATCATAGTCCGCCTCTTCTCTGTTGGGAGGCAGCAGAGTTTCACAGGGGAAGTAGCTCTCGCCGCAGCGGCTCCAGTCGCCGGCGTAGCGGTTGCTAGGGCTGTCCAAACGCCCCGGTTTGGGCCGCAGAACGCCCGCCATCTCCGCTTCAGAGAGATTCAGGACCTGGGGACGCTCTTTTCTCCGCCTGATGGGAGGCGCTGACAGCAGGTCGGATGAGGTCAGAAACACAGAGGCTGCAGGGGGCTGAGAGGAAGATCGGCCAGTTGGGTCCACAACTGGAGGGGCAGACAGGAAGAGAGACCACAGACAGTTAATCAGAGACCATTTTAACTAATATCATTAATACAAATGGTTTGACATTAACTTCGGTTAAATGGGAGTATTCCATTCCGAAATGGACAAACAAATATGTTGCTACAGTAAGCAGCTTGTTAGCTTAACTAAGACAGGAAATGAAGACAGCTAAAGGTGATTTTGGGTGGATTTTACAAGCCTTAGAATATTTCCTAAAATGACACAATCATTTACAAAAGGGATTTTCTTTAGAAGCCCCCCATCATGATATGTAGCCATGCAGACATTTTTACTTGCCAACTTCCTTCTGACCTTTGTGTGACTTTTCATTTGGTAAAAAGCAGTTTCAGTGAAAACTGTTCAAAGTGTTGAATATCATGAATGTTGTTTATGGAGGGTTAGACTGTGGCTATATCATTTTAGTTTAGAGTCATATTTTTAATCTATGCTTTGAGTTCCAAAAACAAAACAAATCTCAAAACATTGGCACCAATTATCTGCATGGCAATGTATCACAAGGGAGTAAATAAAAAAACATATTGCTTTCTAATTTGTGTGAACCGATTCTTTAAGCGTTACAAGTCGCCCTTTGGAAACTTCATGGTGAAACTGACATTTAAAAACATGCTGTGAAACACAACAAGCCTTTTCTGTAGCACAACCCCAGACTGGGTAAACAAAGACATCTGCATAATCCAGCAATAAATTCATCTTGAGTTATGGAAGCCCTGACACACACCCGGCCAGTATAATCAAAGCATGCCATGCTGTGCTGAAATTCAGACAAACACATGCTGAAGTCACACCACCACACTGTGTCTCTGATGCCATCCTTCAGTGGTTATCAACTGTTGACTAAATCAAACTTAAACTTAAAGTTAACTAAACTGATACCCTGTTTGGACATCATCTGACTGTGCCATGAAAGGGAAGAGCGAGCACTCAACACAACCAGCACAGCCCGGTTACCTGTCTGTTTATCTCTGTGTACCTACACTTGTTGAAACCGCTAGCTCTCTCTTACTGGATTGGAAAGGAACAAAAAGCAAAATAGTGTTAAAAGTTATGGCTATAAGTCAGGTACAAGAGGTCCAATTTAAACAAAACTGAATGTTTTTTTGTCTGGATGAGTGTGAAAGAGTTTTGAAATATTATCTTTACAAAAACTGATGACTTCTTATGAACCATGGTGACTCTTTCATTCATCAGGAGTGGCAGATGCTGATGCAGTATTTAAGTGCATCGGTTGCATGCCTTGCAACTCTCTTGAGGCTAAAGCAATTATCACCTAAAACAAACTGAAATTATCCTCCTTTAGGAGACAAGGTGTTATTTAATTTCAGACATGATTCACTGATGACAGGATTAAAGCTATTAGCTGTCAGCAGAGAAAATTAAGGCAGGAAGCAGACGGAAAATGCTACTGTTCAAATAGGCAGAAGGTACTTTGTGTGCTGAATTTCTCTCACACACAAACAGACATTCTCCTCTCTTTTTTTTCAAGATTCAAGGCTTTTATTGTCATATGTACATAGCTAAAGTGTAGTTATGACAATGACATTCTTAGGTCACAGGCTTTTGTCTGTAAAACCATGTGCTCACATCTACTAACACATACAACTGGAATTCACAATGATCACACTACACCCCCTCAGCCTCTTCAGCTCATGCTCTCTCACACTACCTGTAAATAGTGTCACTAGTGTCTGTTGCCCTCGCCTAAAGACATACACACTTGAGTCCTGAGCAACAATGCCTAGGAGGCTCTGGTTTATGTGTGAGAGGCGTGAAGAGGCGGCTGGAAATATCCCATAATGATTGTGAAATGTTAGGGTGAAGTCTTAGGGGCTTAGGGCTAAGGTTAAGCCTGGAATGTCTTTAATTATAGTCCAGGTGTCCTACGCTCTGAGCCGGGGAGGCGGGCAGATTTGGAAATGTACACTTAGGGCCTAAACAAAGGCTTGAACCTGGACTGAAGGGTTTTCAAGGTTGTTAGCGGTCATTATAGACACTCGCTGGGTGACATCAGCTGCAGACAGGAGGGCAGGACAAGTGCAGGCTTTTACTGAAGATTAAGACTATTATCTTCAGACAACTTGACCCCATTTTCCTTCCCTTATTGTCTGCGTATTTGTTCTATCCTCTAAAGAAGAGGGTCCGTGTTTATCTTTTGAAGTTCAACTTGCACTTCACCGAGCTACCTGCAATTAAGGGATTCACAAATGTTGACTTATTCAGCTGCTTTTTCCCTCTCTGTGTGGTTCTTTCCAAGTTGATGTAAAATAGGGTGCTTAGCTTTTGCCGTTCACACAGAGAATTGGTTCAACGTGGGAGTCTGACGATGTATTTAAATGTAGAGGCCAGAGCAGACAAAGAGTCAGTCCTTTTTCAGACATCAGTCAGCAGATCTGTTGAAAGCTGCAGGTTACTGGAGAGAGCTCTGAAGATTTTAATTAATTTGTCTCCGTCCAGCATGATGTAACAAACACTTGAAACTATTTATTTTGAAACATAACATGCATGTGAATCTCGGAAAAACGTCTGGCCTCGAGAAACGAGTAAAAAAAACTCTTACTTCCATTTAGGATTCAGTAAGAGGGATTCGTTTTGGACTGATGACCCTGCATATTTAAAATTGGATTAAATGGATTTTCAAACAGTCTCATCCCTAAATGTTAATGACCAACAGAGTAACACTCCGCCAAATACTACAGTAATAAGATGCTGTCCTAATAGCAGTATGGGGAAGTCAGTAATTTCACACGGTTTTTATTTATCTTTCCAACCTATTTTATAGTATATGCTTGTCAATGTTGTAATGTTTTGTTTAATCATTCACAGTAGCTGCGACTTCAACTCCGCCACAGCATCCACTTAATGTCTCACACAGTGATGAGAGACGCAGTGAACACAAGATTTAAAAATGTTAAAGAATACCTTATTTGTTGCTTTCACCAATATGCGGCTCTGTTTCATCATTCTCGACTCTCTCCTGAATAACGCTGCAGCCCTTTAATATCTCACAGAGAGAAGACAGCTGCAGCTGTGCAGGCAGACGGATGACCTGTGTGTGACTGAAGCTGCTGCTGGCTCCTGTCCTTGGTTGGGGATTGATCTTAAGATGGGGTGCCACGCCTCAAAAGTTTGGTTTACATTGGGGCTTAGAGGCCCGGCTGTGATAGGCTCAGTAAGACGTGATGAAGCGCTCTGCGGAGCCTACAGCTGGTGGCCAGTGGCTATCAGCTGTGGGGGTGCCACTGGTGGATAACCACAAGGATCAAAGCAGCCCTGTAACAGACCTCTGTAGAGCTGAACCGCAGAGCTGGAACTGGTTTTATAAGACCCTTCAGCAGGCAGGGCTGGTATATAAATAGAGACTTACTGACAGTATGATTTTAAGAATGTATTTCACCCCCAAAATACCTGATGCATCTGGACTTATATTGGCAAAATCACAGCATGTATTCAATGATAATTAAAAGAGAACATAAAACATTTCTCACCAGGCCAGAGCTGCAGCAGGTAATGCAGGACTTCGATGTGTTTTTTGAAGTGAAGCGCGCTGGCGAGCTCCTCGGAGTCGATGAACACTCGGTTGGTGTGGCAGGACGCCTCCTGGCGCTGGCTGAGCAGCACCGGGCCGAAACACACTGCCAGGTTCTGACACGTCATCTTGTTCACTTCCTGACAGGACGCTACCAACTTAAGATGGTCAAGAAGCTTCTGCAGTGTCACCTGGTGCACACAAACAACAACACAAATGGTTTTTAATAAGATTAGTTGTTTCAGAACCATAACTGTCATCAGTAGATAGACTAGAAAATCTACCTTTTCAAGCTAACAGTAAAAAGCATAATTCTTGAGATTTCTAAATCCCACATTTTCACAGATGGAGTTTTCTGATGTCAAGTGGATATGGCAGCATAATGCATACTGTAAACCTTACACACAAATACATGTATCATTGTTTTAACTGAGAAAAGAGTAGTAGCAGTAACTTAGTTTATCCTTGGTCATCCTTAAAAACACTAGTTTATGGTACTGTTGTGTGTTCACCAATGTACAATAATTGGATAGTTAGCTAAAACATTTACTTTAATATCTGCCTAAAAAACCTTTATTTTTCATTTTGGGTCATTCATGATTTATCCTAAAAAAGTTAAAGAACAGTGAAAAAGTGTGGTGAAAAACCCCCGGTGCTGACTGGTGGACTGCATGCCACCACTAGTATCCCCTGATGTAAAAGCCTACGTAATAGAAGTGAAACAGCAGTGATATGTAGCATTAGGCCCATCATTATCTATGCCACAATTATCCCTTTCAAAACCACCTCAGTGACACGAGCACTCTGATGACTGTGAGAGGCAGCAGGATGTTACGGTTCCTCACCCTCTCCACGTCTGGCAGGTTTTCCAGCAGGCTGACGGTGTGTTCTGTGTCGCCCGCGTCATTCTCGCAGCCCGATGGTCCTATCCGCAGAGGCCTCGTTGCCATGGCTTCCATCACTGCCTCATACAGGTGCTTGGTGATCAGAGGGTATGGCAGCTCTCGCAGGTAATCCTTCAGTACTCCTGGAGAGAGGGAGGAGAAGAAAGTGAAAGGTGTTAAAGGAATCAGTGGAAAGCTTTTTGCAGCACAGCAGTTTTCCCACACTTTAACTGAGAACAGCTTCACTACCTGACAAATCCCTAACAATATATCTTTAAGAAGTGCTGTCATTGAGAAATGAAAAGCTTTTATTTTCCCGTGTTTTTTAAACAGCTGAGACTGGCGCACTCTGTTGGCTGCAGAATGAGGTCCCTTTGTTTTCGCAGGTGATCCTGTGGCGTTTGCTGAGGTGCCTGATTGGAGTCGGGACTGACTCGGCAGCCAAAAAGTGTCAAAGGGGGGGGCTGGGGTCTGTGATGGCCCATTCACACCTGTGACTTCAGCCTCCCGTAGTTCAGACAAAAGCTACGGGAAAACATGAAACCCATGCTGTCTGTCTGCACTAAGCCCCCGAAATATCACTGGCATGTCTTTTGATCAAAGGCAAATAAAGGGAGGGGGGGGGTTGGGAATAAATACGGGAATAAGAAAGGCTCTTGGCAGTATGACAGCTCTTTGTGGTGAGTGCTCTCCTTTCTCTCTGCATGGAGCGGGATCACTTTTCAGACACGGCTGGGGGCGGTGTAATCAGCAATATTGGTTGTGCTCCAAAAAGACACACAAATGCCTATAAAAAGCACCTCTGTATAATATCGTTTTTTAAGACCAGAAGTGAGGTTACTATAATGATAACAATAGCTGCAAATAACCACTTTTGATGAAACAAAGGACGCACTTTATTGCTACTTGTCTTTTGTTCCAAATGTAACGATAAAAGAGTACTTCAGAATTTGTTCACAAAAAAGGTTGACAGACTTTAAGTTGGCCAATTTACAATAGAGTAACGACCGTAAGCTAGTTTAAGTAAATAACCTGTGTTGTGCTGTTGCAACAAATGTGAAATACTTGGTTCAAATATATATCAATACACCCACACTGCATTCCCACAAAGTGTTTTTGTTCTGCAATGCTGCATGCTGCTGATGCTTGAACACCTGCCAGCAGCCCAATCATGTCGTATTGGGATTCGTGAGGAACATATTGCTGCTATGCCTGCTGGTGCTGCAAAGCTTTGTGTTTCTGTCACTTAACTTATCGGCTGTTAGGTTCAACCATGCACTTTAAGCCGGAATAACACATTTCCTGTCCTTGCAGTCCGCACCTTTGGACCGTGGCAACTCTTGCCAAAGGGGTTTACCCTCCACTGAGATACCAGAGATTGCTGCTTTTGTACACCGAGCACTTGTACTAACATGTTTTGTCGTAAAATTCCATGGCTCTACTCCTGTTTTGTGTATTTGACACTTTCACTCATGGCTTTTTCATTCTATTTGCGTGCAATATTTGCATTGCTGAATAGTGGATTACAGTAGGTTCTTCATGCAGCTTTGATTATTTTGGTGAAATGTGAATATTCAGATTCAAGAGTCATGCATATTATGAGATTACAGTTTTGTGCTGTGGGTTGTTACAGTTTTTCAGCCATTCTTACTGGCTCTCTGCAAACGTGGATCTCTGGTAGAGGGAATGATTGTATATCAGCTTGAGGGATGTGAAGTTGACCTAGTTGATGATGGTGTTCTTCTGCTATCAGCACAACAAAATGTTTTATGGGATACTGTGTGCCCCAAAGCCATGAGCACATTGTTAGAATAATATGGATATGCTGCATAGCCGACATGTCTTATCATCTATCATCAGAAACGTTGACTTACAACACAATGTCAGAAAGCTGTAGGAACATTTTTATGATGTAACAATTTAAAGAATAACACTATATTTGCCTGTTAAAGAAGTTAAAAAGATAACTTTATCCATATCAAGCACTATTCCGTTTGTAGAAATCAACACAGTAGTGACACAACCCCCTGAGTTTGTGAAAGGGATTAGGATGCTGTAAATAGGAGCTACTACTTTATCACTTCTACATCGCTGGATTCCTTCCCATACACTCGAGGTGGTTACCTCTTGCCTTCTATTTACAGCAAACTACAATAAGAGCCATGGTAAATCTGCTGACATCCCTTTAGGCCCAGTAAAGAAAACGCAGGGCACAATTTAACACGCTCACTTTTTTAATCCAAGTAAATCCCTACTTGGCTCTTTAAATCTGAGGATTAAAGCTTTGCAGTCTATTCCTAACTGGCATTGTATGTACATCATATATTAATCTAATAAAGTGGATGGACAAGTATTTTAAATATAAACCTTCAATTTCTGTGTTGTTGTGTATTACACCTAATTTAAATGATATGGCTGTGGACAAACAGTAGGACATTTTAAAGATAGGATTAGAGAGTGAGAGGAGGATCTATATTCAGTTCAGAGTTACAGTTCAGTCTCAGATCAGCATTAGGTTCAGTATCTGCACAGGGGAATTCAGTGTCAACTCAACAATCTGGACAATGATCTAATTTTACATTAACTGATCCCACCTTTCATCGATTCACAATAGCACAACATATCAATAGAAGTATAAACTATTGAAATTATAGGAACTGACGTGACTACTGTCTGTCAAAAAGTGTTCCCACTACTTCTACCTTTTTATTCTCAGTCAGAATAGATCATAACTCTCATCTAGAAACAGATTTTGAAGATTACACGATCAGTCCCAGGTTATCAGGAGTCTCTTTAGATGCTTTCTATAGAAATTATACTGGATGGATTGCCATGATGTTTGATACTCTTATCTATGATATCTAGAATATGAATCCTATTAACTTTAATTAGCCCATTACTTTTAATCAGAACCACAATCTGGTCGAAAATGTACTTTACCTGCTAAATCAGTGATATTCCCACAAACCATTGTGTGTACTTTGCTTGTAGTGCTTATTATCAATAGTTAGCATGCTAGTACGCTAATCTATGCTGGTGAACAATTAAATACCATGCTGTCGAGTGTTGTGACTCCTTCCCTCATGATTTCTTTCTTTGTGATTATTATAATGAATTTAATTTGTTTTCTAAATGTGCACTTTAGTTTTGGGCGGTTTATGTAATTCATACAAAAATGTGTCAATAGAGATAAGCAAAAATGCAACTTTGTTATACATCTAAAGCACTTCTTCCTCTGAACTAGAAGATCAAAACGTCCTGACACACGCACACACAAAACACACACACGCATATATATTGTGCATTCCTGAGGCAGGAATTTGTGGCTCTAAAGAAAAACAACAACTCAAAAGCCCACCATGTTAGCCCCCCCTTCTCAGGTAAACCAACACAATGACAGCTATAAGTCAGCAGGGTCAGACTTTATCACGGCTTCAGGCAAACATGCACTTAAATCTTCATAAAGTGTCCTGCTATTCAACATGTCCCCGGTGTCCTCTGAGCCAGCTTAGCTGATCTGTGGCGACATGTTTCCATGTTTGTTTTCAGTTCTGATTCACTTTTGTTATCATATATCTTCATCGGGATTGGTATGAAATCTGGTATGAGCTGGATGCGATAAGAAGGCATAAACACAAGATAAAGTCCCTCTCCTTAACTTGCTGGTTTCTCAATCCGATAACACAGTAATGTTTTGTGAATATCCCCAGTTTCCCGTTGTCAATCTTTACTGAGATAATAATAATCTGCTTGTTTCATCGCTGAAAAACAGACTGCCTGGAAGCAAATATGGGCCATGTGTCTTCACCCTTATCTCTGCAAAGCAAGGCTTTTGTTGTTTAGTGAGTGCAAATAAAAAGCACAGACATACCACTGATTTGTTATTTTTTGTCTGAAATGGAAACTAAGCACAGAAGACCGTCTGACCTTTGCTGTTCTGAGAGGCAGATCCTCCAGAACAACAACATCAGGATTGTTTTACAAAAGCAGAAAACATGCAATATATGACAACATGTTTACACTCTTTCCAGTGCAATCATTTAAAATGTGCTCATGTGCTTGTGTAGTCTGAATTGAGGAGAATACAGCCATTCAGGTCAATCATTAGCCTGCTATGAGTCAGTGCTAGTGTTTACTTTTGTGTCTATGCCAATGTTGTTGCCTGAGACACACACACACACACACACACACACACACACACACACACACACACACACACAAGGTCATGGGCTTAGGGGTGAACAGGTGTGCTTACCCTGCAGGTGCTTCTCTTTCCTTCACACCCGAGCTGACAACAAGCACACGCTGAGCGTCTGTTCTCTCACATTTAAACTGTCGGGGCATTGGCTTTATTCCAGGTCAGATATGAACTACACATGCCAATTTCTCTGTTTTTAATATAACCGAACAGTAGCATGAGTTCTGCGATCTAAGGCAGCTCAGCAAAGAAAGAAATACAACCCCCTGATGAATTGCTTCTAAACATGAGATAAAAGCTACAGATTATAGCATCTAAAAATGTTTTGATGTACCGTACATGCTTTTTTTCTAATCAATTCAGTCTTTCAATGTTTCAAATGTGCCACCAAACACTACAAAGCACACAATGCACTGGGGCACAGCTCTACCTTTGACCCCTTGTTCAAACAAAGTGAAAGGTCACTCCTCTTGTCAGTGCGGCAGTCAACGCCTTGCCCGGAGAACAACTGGGGGTTTGTTCTCCGTCCTGCCCCCTCCCTGCTGTCCTGCACGCCCCCACAGCACTAGGGGGGGCCAGAGGAGATGTGTGTGTGTGGCGGCCTTGTCCGGTGGCACGGTTACACTCTACACTGTGGTTTCTGAAACTTTTCCGTGGACCCCAAAGCCTCCCGGATATGAGGGAACAGTGCTTATGCTACATGCTGGATTCATCACAAATATTTATCATGACTCCCGACCTGCGGTTAAAGAAGCGTTCTGTCACCCACACAGGCCTGCAGCTCTTTGTAAAGTGGGTTCGCCTGCAGGCCCAGGGTTCAGCTAATCCCCCATGCGTGAGCCAAATACCATCTGTGTTTGTTCGGCAACAAAGGGGGCACTTGTTAATGACTTTCCATGTCTTCACTGGTGTACTGCTGAGGGGGGGGGGGGGGGGGGAAAGTAGCGAAGTAGGCTATGGAAAAGACGAGTCAGGCAAGGCAAATTAAAAACACCACAAACAAGGATCAATAACCGAGCTGTGCTGGTTTAATTTTCTGAGGATAGAGACAGTTTCCCATCATTGTATCACTTTAGAAGCTTTGTTTCCACACAAAGACCACAACAGGTTAGGCTGAGGGCTTAATTATTAGTTAAGGTCACTACCGTGCCCTCAAAACCTTTTCCACAGTGATTCATCATGTATTTGTTTTATCCGGTTTTACTCTGATTAAAAGTTTCAATGGCACTGTTTATGTCAGAAACTAAGCTGCCTCGTAGGCCTATAGGATTTTACTGACAAACCACAATTACCACCAACAACTACTAAGTGAAACCTCTCTTACCACAACTTCCTCATGTGATATTTTGAGTAACTCAACTGTTAAAGCACAGTGTTACTGGGAATGTGTCTGTAGAGTGTACTGGTCCAATGCAAGTTTCCACCTAAGGGAGACATGGGTAGATTGAGTTTAAATTAAAGTGATGAAGCACTTTAAATAACTCTTTATTTTAAAGGTTTTGCGAAATACAGGTTATGGTAAGAGTAGTTGAGTTACAGTAAAGATGAGGTTACCGCCAACAGCCGGTTAGCTTAGCTTAGCATAAAGACTCAAATGAAGGGAAAACAGTTTGTCCCCAAAAAATATATCCAACCGAGTATAGCTTTTTAATATGTAAAACACTTTTTGTTTAATCTTTCAAGTTGTGGTTTTAAAAGGGGTTATGTTATAGACTCACAATGATGATCTAGGATACTTCCTTCAGTGTGTCTACCTCCCATCAAGTTTACATTTTAAAGTGTCCAATATTTGGTACATCACACGACATACAGCCTCTTTCTATGACCGCCCTCCAAAGGGTCCCATATAAACAGATTACCTAAAGAGCAGAAAGTGTATTTACTGAACACACAACTCTGAAGATAATAATGGTTTGTCTTGATTTTCCATAGAATGTAGCTTGTGTTGATAGCCCCTTTCTGGTTCTTTTGAATACATTGGGATCTGAAACAAAGGAGGGCAGCGTACTGAGCATGTTTTGCAAGCTTTGGATTGAACTTTGATCTCAGGATAATCCCTTTCACTACCTCTACTTTTAAATTAGCCGTGTGACATGCCAGCCCTCTTAGCTCATCCGTTTGCTGCTCGCTCATTAGCCTCGAGTCTGACTCCGCACTGAAGAGACTCCAATACATTTTAAAGATCTAGATAATTTAATATGAGGGGACATTCCACTGCAGTTATGGATTCATATTAGAAGGCTTATTAGATTTCTTGATAATATTTGAAAGTACTGGCAAGAAAAAACTGAAATCAGTTCAACCCACTGGCAAAGGTTGACCAAAAGTTTAAGGAAAGTATGTTTTAAGATTAAACCCATGATTAAATCCCAGATGGACATTTTTGAAGCACAAACCATAAACCCCTCAACTGCATCCCTTCCCCCTCTCCCTGTCCTCCTCCACTCACTCAGGCCCATGTGCAACTCGCTTGGTGGAGCAAATTTAGGCAGCGAGCAAAAACCAACAAGCCACGCTGGTGCTGGACCTTTTTTTCTAACCCGCTCAACTGTTAACTTTGTTTTTTGCCCTGCCATGCAAATGCACGTGGATCAAAGCAGGCATGATAGGACGACGCCTATACGGGGCCTCTTCCCAAAACCAACAGCAGCTCCTACAATGCCCAGGGGTTTCCATGGTCTTCCTCTTTTTGTGGGAGAGAGAAAAATCATGACCAAGTCCTTTTCTACAACTCGGCCTTCCCCCCTCATCTGTGGCACTGCTGGAATCATTACTCAAGCCAATGACATGGCTGTTTTTGTAAGCTGGGGCTCTGGGAGATGTAACTGCAATGTTTCCATTTTAATTTCACAGCGACGGAGCGGAAATAAGCTGCAACTCATAGGAATCTGAGTGGCATTTAAATTACTCGTTGTAAATAATACATCGAGGGACATACAAATTGAAGCATTGCTTGTGGTACCGTAAAAAAAAACATTCACACTTACTCTGCCAACATAATAACTACACTGAGTGCGTTCCTAAAACATACCATAGAAGGGGGGGCATGTCTCAACCACAGACCTGGAAGAGAAAGAATGACCTGAATGTACAGCATGGTCTCTCTGTGTGTGTGTGTGTGTGTGTGTGTGTGTGTGTGTGTGTGTGTGTGTGTGTGTGTGTGTGTGTGTGTGGTCCCTCCCCTCAGGCACTGGCCTACACTGTTGGCTGACTGCAGGAATGCTTTTACTACAAACAGCAGACTCACACACGTACACATGTGCTGACCTATCTGCAGAGGACACACCAGTTCAGACACATTCATTAGGACAAGGACTGGATCAATACGAAAATTCAGACTCAATTTATATAACGTCCTCTTTCTTTTTTCATGATTTATTAAAAAACTTTATTTCATAAAGCCTTGATTTCTTGATTAAGTAAGTTAGTCAGTGTGTTCTTAAAGTGTCTGTAGTTTCTGTACTGTCTGTAAAGTGTTGTTAATGTAATAAATGGTGAAAGTCTGATGTTTAATTTGTCTCAAATTCTGCATTGAACTTCTACTTTATCTTCTGCTTAATGACAGACAACTAGAGAGACAACAAATAATTAATTAATTGATCATGCAATAGACAGAAACATAAGGATCAGATTAGTCATTTTTAAAGAAAATGCCAAATATTCAAGGTTTCCAGCTTCCAAAATACGGGAATTTGCCTTTTAACATTGATGGTTGTAATAAAAAAGTTGACATCTTTAGATTTTGAGTAGTTCTTCAGGAAAAAACAACCATTTGAAAATGTAAATGTGGGCTCTGTGAAACTGTAATGGGTCTGACATTTAATCAGCCAAATGATTATTCTGGGAAATAATCAGTGGTTAACCTTAAATGGAAATATATTTTTATCTTAGCTCACCAGTTTGCTCTGTTTCATGGGAAACCTTAGAAAGAGGGACACCAGAGCTTTTTGGTAAGCCACCTATTTAAATGACTCATTCTTAATCATACTGAGTGTATGCGCTTATGTTCTCTGTTACCAGCGGTCCATTTACCTGTAATGACGTTAACGTCGGGATACGTGTTTTCACACAGCTCCACGGCGTAGCTGTCTCTCTCAAATGCCTCACGCAGCTCCTTCTTCACGGCTGCAGATCCACAAAGACGGTAGAGGCCCACTACCTGGAAACACACATAGACAAACAAGTAGGTCAAGTAAACATTTGACAGCGAGGCAGACATTTTTTACAACCCTATTGATCAAGTCTGCACTTAGACAATGTGCTGGACAGAAGCCAAAACTACTTACACAGAAACCACACAAGTCTCAAAACTTAAGTCCGTTAATAAGTGTTCTTGAATAACTGACAACATTGTATATATTGTATATTTAACTGTATTAGGGCTGACTTTGATGGGACATTGAAGGCCCAGCATCTTCTCTGCTTATACTGGACATTGAATGTATTTTTTGGATCTAAGTGTTTGACTTGGTTTTCCTATACAATTTAAGATTTTTAGAAATAGATTATGTCATGTGCTTTATAGTTTATACAGCCCCAAACAACCTTAGTAAAAACAAATACAACTGACTTGAATTGACAACCAGCTGCAATCTTCTTAAAAGAGACAGAAAGGACATGTGTGTATGTTAAACATAAAGTAATACTATATAGCTATGGATGATGATGATGATGATCATTAAGCAGCTCAAATATTTAGATGACATGCTTGAATGTAGAGGAACAAAGACAAAGGAGAGGAGTCCATTTCCAGCATCATGTGTCAGTTAAGCCAAAATAAGATAGAGATAAAACCAGATCATAATGTTGCTGCAAAAGCTTAAGGGTACTCAATACAGCAATAAAGTACATGTTATGTATACAGTTGTCCAACAACTATAGCTAACGTTAGCCATCATAAGCTAGTTAAGTAATGGTGTAGAGGTAACATTCCTGAGTAGATTCAAATGAGAAACTACATTTAAATCAAAATTATTATTGGGTTGTTTCTACTTTTTAAAGATGTATAGTCAGGCTTTAACTCTCATGTAGCATAATAATTATAGTTCTGTCAGCTTGTGTTTCAGCTCTTAACTTATTGAAAGTGAATAAAAGAAAGAATGTGGGCTATACCCTCAGAGGTGTGATAAAAATGTCACATCTTTTAAACTGACTGGATAAACACTGAGCGCTACTAAAAGCCCAACTGACAGCTCAGCATTAAAAAAAAGCAGTAAACCATTAATGTTTCTTTACCTACGCCTCCACAGCGTGACCTAAGGAACCCTTAACAATTTCCTCCAGACATTGACATTTGATAGTTGAAACTTGGCACCATTGGTCCCCTTGTTATGTTGGGATTAGGTCTGACTACAGACATACCATAATTTCTCCTACATGTGTCTGTCTGGTATGTGGCATAGCAGACCAACTGGTGTGGTTGCCCCGGTAACGTGTTAAGTCAGTGGGCTGTGAATGGTGTGCAGGGTCTGCTTCCACACAAACACAAATACACACACACACACACACACACATATATACACACTGCTGGCCTTTCCGGGCTCCAGCGTAGGAGCACTATAATGTCTCCCCACCAGACCAACTGTTTGGAGCGCTCCTCGTTGTCGAGGGCGATCAGGGCTTTCTAAACCTCACACGAGAGGCAGAGAGGAGCACAGATTAGGCAGGGATTTGCCTTTGTGTGAGAGTAAACAGAAGTCACTGGGAACAATGAACAACAAGTCCATTCAGAAAAAAAAAAGAGTCTCTCTTTGGAGGAGAGTCGAGCACAGGCGTGGACCAGCTGTTAGCAGAAAGTGCGATCGCACTTATGCACCGCGGCTCCCGGGCAACACAACATGCAGCACCAGCCAAGACATATATGCAAAATAAGGCCGAAACAAAGACCAAACCAAACGAGTTCCCCCGATAGGAATGTGATGATCAGTGACTCTAGAAGTAGTGATGGGATCAGCTTTCTTTTGGTCTGGGATAAGCTTAAAGAGTTTATAGAGACATTAAAGGAAAGTAAGAAAAGTACATTTGACAGCATGAATGCTCTCAAGTTGTATTATTCAGTCTACTGATTGGTTGACTTCCTCTACACATGAGTCACCTTTCTAGTCAACACTAGCAGGGTAACAATAATCAGTTCTCATATTCATGACAGAAAGTCATCCCAGCATGATTCAAGGATTGCCCACACATGTAAGTAAGCCCTCACAGGAGAGCAGACCCACAGACATTCAGTGCACTACATAAACACAGTCATTGTTACTAGTTGTAGGTCTGTACCTTATGATTGTTTTCATTATTGATTTGTCTGCCAATTAAATGTTTGATTTTGTCTGATCACCTGTAGGAACCCACACATATTCAGTTTACTAACCCACAACACAACAATTCATAAATGTAAAACCCTTAAAATTGTATTTTATTTACATGTTAAAACTCTTATTAGGGTTGGGGTTAAGGTACATGTACTTAACACCCCAGCCATTACTTTCAAATACTGTCAAAATAACTGAAAGTCTACACGTCATAAGCAGTGATGTACTACATAAGAATATGTATACATTAATAAATGAGCCTCTTTGTTTTGCAGAAATAAAGTGCAACCAGGAATTATCATTTTTGAGATGGTCCAGAAGATTTTTGCCTGGTTTAGATTAGCAAAACAAATTAGTTTTTAATGTTTTTTTTTTTTTTTTTATTACACTCACTGCTGAACAAAGAGGAAATTAAGTTTCTACATAGAGCATGTAAGCCAGTGGGGATGTACTTTTTAACAAAGCTTTAGCACCGTTGTACAATAAAAGGCATAAGTGTTTTATAATGTACAAAATAGACCATTACATGTATGAGAAAGTTATTAGGGGATCCAATATTAAGAGCAGATTAAGCCACCCCTTGTGTTTATGGTCATTAAGTGTCAAACTGCAAAATAATTGAATAATATTTCACTGTAGTAGCCTTTGGAAAAACTGAAAAACGCTCTACCAGGCTCTCGTCTCTGCCAGATGCTACATACAGCCCACATACTGCAGGGTTTGAAAACAGCCAATACAGAATATTTACGTAACATAAACTTATGTTTGAAGGCCCAAAAGCCATGCCTTTAACAGACTGATTCAATTTCTGAAAAGGGCTTTAGCCTGGACGTCAGCTGTGTCAAGAAAAACTCAAGAGGGTGATGCTAATAAGTCTGCGCTACTCTAAAATGGTGCATCTGTGTAGGCATTCACAACATGTCACAACATCGGTGTGCATCTTTAACCATCATGTATGTGGGTTAGTGATGTACCCTCTTTTATGAATGTCTCTTTTTAATGGGTACAGAGTGCTGCTGTACATACCTCCAGTCTCCGACACAGACATCATGTGCAGTCTTATCAAAACACCCACAATCATCCAGTGTCTTAAAAGCTTGGATGAGCCCTTAGGACACTCATTTTAAGAGACTCTGAAAAGAGAGTCTCCATCTTACATCCACATAATCATTTGTAAAGGCACACCGCTGCACGTCTGGCTGTGTATGCTTAAGTGACACAACCTGCCACTGGGATCTGGTGTCAGCCCCGTCCTAACCTCTGTCTGCTCGCAACCTGAGGGAACCCTTACACTTGATCTCAGACTGATACTATGTCCAAAGTCTACTCTGCATCTCTCTGTTATGAGAGAAAGCAGCCAAACAGGGGGGGAGGGAGTGATTAGAAGAAAAACACTAAGAGGGATAGGAGATAAACAGTGTCAGAGACAGAGCCAGAGGGGGTAACTGATAGTAATCGCTACACGGCAAGACAAAGCAGAGTGAAGGACATAAACAGAAGAAACCTGAGCCTAAAAAGTATTGGTTAAGTGAGAGCTAAAGCTGGCAAGCCAGGTGAGTTTGTAATACAATAACAGGGATCTTTACTTATTTGTTATTGGAATTTGAAAGATTTTTCCTTATATTTAGGCAATTACATGATAAAATGTTTACAAAACATCCTCAAGGGGAAGTGTGAGTAAACCACAGGGGCCTTAAAGTTAGGTTACTCATTGGGCCAAGACACAACAATGCACTTAATAGTCTCATATAGTGTTGTAATGATTAGTCGATATATAACTCTATTGATAAATAAAAGACATAATAAATTATGACAATACATCATTTATGATTTATGCAACTACCTACTCAGTGCTTCAGATCATCAATAAAATGTTATATTAAATACATGTTCTTCCTTTGTCGATGAAACACGCTTCAACAAGTTTTTTGACTATCAGGAGAGTTGTTTTTATATAATTCTACTGACAAAAAAACTAACAAAGTTAACCGAAAAACATAACAGGCTTTGCAGAGGTAATAAATAATCTACAGATTAGTGGAGGATGAAAACAAGCATTAGTTGGAATGCAAGTCATTCACTTCAACAATGATACGCAGGATAATTTTCTACTAACACGAAAGCAATGCAATGAAACCTGAACTTATTTGAATTCAGCAAAAAATGATGTTCCACTTTTGAAATCAAACAAATGACTATAAGTGTGTTGCTGTGACTACTTCTGCTAGAAGCCCGGCATGCTGCACAAGTCGCCATGAGCGGGGTCTGATTTGACAGACAGGCTCCTTGTAGAGGCCTAATGTTTGTCTGTTGGCCCCAGGCACCCGCTGCCCCTGGCATGCCCCCCTACAGTGATCAGTCAGGAACAGTGGCCAGACACTTTTACTGCTGCTGTCTCAGCTCTAATTAAGAGAAACACCGCTGCCTCTCTCTGGGCTTCAAAGAGCATGAAATGTGGAGGGGGGCGGACAAAACAAGAGATGATCACATGATCCACTCCACCAGCACGTCAGTCTCTTAACTCTGAGTCTTTCTCCTCTCTGAATAAAGGAGCCATGCGCCCCAGGATGGCTCTGAGACATCATGAAGTGCAATACATCTTCTCTCTCCATTTTGCTCATGCCAGGAACAGGCTGCAGGGCGAGCGCCCGTCTCACAGCAGAGTGGGCTAAAAGCTATGTGTGTGCGGTAACCTCCCCCCTTTTCTCCCACACATCTTATACAAAAATGCATTATATAATTGTATCTTTTCAAATAAATCCCCATCTGTATATTGCTCCGTATTGTTCCTTTTCTCTGGTTTCTTTTTTTAAAGTTTTCTTTTTAATGCTGCTCAAATTGAAAATAACAACATTGGAAGTCAGTTTGAAGGTGATTTTAATTAATTATTCCGCCATTCTCTGTGATTTTAATCAAGAAGACCACGAGCAGATTAAATGATGAATAACCGTTACTTGCTATCATTAGTGCTGAAATCAACCCTAAGGGACTGGAACCCTAACAAAACAAATGTCACAGGTATTCAATTTTTTATGAAGGAAACACATTTAAATGTTCCCCGTTTGCACTGCAGCCTCTCAAATGTGAAGGTTTGTTGCTTTGTGTTTTATATAAAAATGTTGTAAACTAAATAGGATTGGGTTTGTGATGCACGCTCTGGAAATAGTAATGGGCGTTTGTCACTACTTCATTAATTATTTTGTAGTCTAAACTATATTTTGAATATTAAAAAATAAGTCAGACTGATATATCAAGTGAATTAAACATACAGGGTTAATCATCATCGGGAGAAACATACATTGCCACAGTAACACCCGGTTGACTTGAAATCTTGGAAAACTAAACTCTTTTCTCAGACTCACCTGGCAGCCTCTCTTCTCGATCTCATTGATGCACATGCTTATGAGCAGTGGCACCATCAGTCCTGTGTTCTCCCTCTCCACCACCCGCCACGCCTCCACACCGAACATCTGGGGCTCTCTGTCTCCGTGTGGCCCGCCATCCAGCGAGTTCTTCCACTGGTCCATCAGGTTCAGCTTGACGTAGATCAGCCCCCGCGGCTCCAGCTTCACCGCTAGCTGGTGGCTCCGCGTTACCCGGAAAAGTGCCGGCAGAACCACCGTGCCGTGGCAACAGACGCGGTTTCTCCTCGGCATCGGCTCCCAGCTGAACACCACCAACTTCAGGTGCTGGGCGTTCTCCAGCTCGATGTTGAAGGTGTGGTCCATATCTAGGAAGGTAGTTCGGCATGTGAGAAGAGCGGTTCGTGCTTTGTTAACTGAGTCCACTTGGATGGCGCAATACACATCTCTAGAGTCAATGCGCGGAGGTTTGAGGTCCTCAGCACCGTAGAAGTGCAGGCTCATCAGTCCGGAGATGTACTGGCTGCACTTGGGTTGCTCTGTGAAGCTGTAATGGCGGAAAGCATCAATGTCCAATTCTGTGCCATTAAGTTTGGAGCTTCCACCTCCTACCTCCGTCTCCTTGCTTTTCCCGCCCTTCCCCTCCGCCGAGCCGTGCTTCCCAGATTTTGCCACCAGCTCAGGTGAGTCGCCATCACTGAGGTAACCACCTTTACTGGCGGACTTTGAGCTGCCGTTACTTTTCTTCTTGCTGAAGCTGTGCTGCGTGGACACACTGCTGTCCAGGTGGTAGCGGGAGATAACGTTACGACTGGCCTGCCCTCCCCCAGATGCAGCTAACCTGGGAGGGCCCGAGGAATGGGGGACGGCCTCCGACCCGCTCACATTGTTCCGGGGTGAATGGGCTCTGGGCTCTAAATGACTGCTTCCATTGCCGTTGTTGATGTTACTGCTGCTCGAGGTCCCCTTGACGCTGAGTTTTCGACTAAGCTCTGGAAGCTTCTTCATCTTCATGGAGATCTTCCTCACGGTGCGCGGAGACTTAATCTTGTCTGGGAAGGACCAGTTGATGGAGCTGCTCTTCTTGGCCGGGTTCGGGCTGGAGGGAGGGGAGCTGACTGCATTGGGCAGGTCAGGACCATCTACAGAGGAAAGAGAAAGACATGGATTAAAAGGAGAGCCTGGCACATTTGGATTTTCTTTGGTTGGGATGTGGTAAAAACATGTTTCAGGCAAATTCTTAGAAAGGAGAAATATTTCGAAATCAATTTCTGCATTTCTCGCAGAAACAAAAGGGAACCACCAGTTCTTAAAGTTACTTTAATCCCTGGTTTGACTACACAAGTGCCCTCACTCCCAGGATTACAAGAAACTGTTTAGATGTCCAGTGAAGACAGACAGGATCAGAAGATTACAACCAAAGGCAAAGTGAGCAGGAGCCATAATTTACAGTCTTTCAGAAGAGCACTACACCTTCATGATACATCATCTAGTGATTAGGTTCACATGCAACCCAGCAATCCACTGACAATGACAGATTCAGTAGGCGACGCTTCATAAACACTTGAGAACTATATAATACAGCTGCAGTTCATAATATGTAAACCTAGACAGTGATTTAGATAATTAACAGTCTAAAAATCTAAAATTCAATTGTTCCCAAAGGGTTTCTATGAGCCTCCTTTGCTTTGAGTGGACCTCATTCAATCAAACAACATTGACATTGAAGTGGAATGTATTAAGCTGCAGCTCCAGGACAAACAGTGGTCAGGCTATAAGATGGAAATGTCGGGAGACACTAACTGCTTCAGGGCTGAGCTAGAGTTACTCAGTCATTATTCAAGTTGAAAAATATCCATTTGGATTGGACCTTGTAGGCAGTTCTTGCCTAACTAGATGTCTACAACAGGAAATGTCAGGGTCTAGAGTTCTACTCAGGAGTGTCAGCCATGTTTAGTCTGCAGCACTGAGCTGAGTCGCCTACCCAAAGCTTTCTGGGGCGTGGCAATTTATCGTATGATGTTTAAAGCTGCCATAATTAATATTTTGCATATTAACAATAAATCAAATCACCATGCGTATTGTCAAAGTTGTCACTTATATTCACAGAGAATTATCATTCTGCAGTTTCCATTGGCTCCAAAGATCTTTTGAGTGTCTTTCAGCTCTTTGTTTTGGTTTAAGAGACATCAAATGTATTATATTATTGTCCCATACGCTGCTCTGTGTCATTTCTATCCTTTATAAACCAGCTTCCTATCTATGTCTACCACTGTGCCTTCATCCATTAGTATGTGCTGACTAACTGCCATAATAAAAACAAATATGGATGTACCAATGTAGCTTGTTTTTATTGCTTCAGAGCTCCATTAACTACCCTTTCAGTCATTTTTCACATTAAAAGATTTGTTTTGGCACAGAGCCGTTTGAGTGATTAAAGTGGAATTTGTCAAATTATGGGCATCCCGCTATTTGCCCAACGGGAGGCTTGGGCTGGCCTTTAACAGAAAAAGCCGCTATTTTCCACTTTCAGCGCTCTTTTAATAAGATTTCCTCAGAGGCTAACCTGCCTTTTCTTAAACTGTAGAGGGAATACCTCGCTGCATGGATCCATGGGAGATTAAGGCTGGACCACATGACTGTGCAGGGACAGTTTACCCTCTGTAAGCCTTGTGAGGAGTGCCTTTAAATATGTCCTGGATAGTAAACCCCATGCTATAACTTATTTAAACATTTCATTTAAAGATCCTTTAATCTATGATGTTGGATTTCTCATTGCAAACACGCTCATGTTGTTTTTATCAGCTAATTACTTTCTCTGAATGAACCTCAGAAACAAAAGAGCGATTCTGTAAGAGAGATAGAGAGACACACACAATGAGAGATTGAAAGTTGAAAGGAAAGAGAGTCTGACCCTGCCAACATCACCAGCTCTATGTTCAGAAGGGACCTGCTGTGCTATTCTGGGGCGAGGGCCTGCGAGTGAAAAGAGGGAGGCAGAAGAGGTGCGACAGGATGGAGAGAAGGGTAAGATGGGGGGCAGGAGCAGGGCAGGGTGTAGCCGGCAGATGGGGGACAAAGGCGCCCCTTGTCCAGGCACTCAGAGGTCTGGATGGTCGACTGGAAGGCTGGCAAGCCGGCTGGTGAATGTACAAATGAACACGGCTGTTCTCTCACATTCCTCACCAAAACATGTTTAGCCTCCTTTTCCCCCTGGCTGAGTAGCCTTCCCTGTCACAGCTTCCTGCCAATAATAGACACAGAGGCGCTCTGAGAAGGGAGAACATGGGTGGAGGTGCAAACACCAAACAACATCTGGGTGGGGTCGTGTACACAGAGAGTCCGGTCAGGTCTGAAACAAGGTTTACAGGAGTGAAATTCCTTTTGCATGAGAAGAGTTTGACTCTTGGGTTCTTAAGCTTTCTTTACACACACTGCCTATAGACAGTACTTCATCGCAACAAATATATGGTAAAGAAGATATTTGCTCAATAAACTGGATTGAGTGTTTGATATTATAGTAACACCTTGACATTAACAGTATGACATTTGAAGATGCTGTAAGTAGCCACAGTTTAAACGTGTAAAAAGTATTGCTGTGAAAAAAGTTCATTTATCAGGGTAATGTTATCATTAATAGACTTTCAGTGGAATTGTATTATGTTAATAGATGTTATGGCCATCATTTCACAAAGACGGTGTGGCAAAATTAATAACTCAAAGTTCATTGCATTCAACATAACTTGTATTATCTTTCAGTGATTTGTAACTTTTAGCCATATTTATTTATTAGATTGTTTATTTTCCTTGTTTGTGTAAATGTACCTAGCAATAAACTGGATTCTGATTCTGATACAGTGATTATCAAACGATACTGTTCCATATTAGTGCCAAGTTCACTGACCTCGTAGACCAGTACATGGCTGTTGCATGCTTTATGCCTGTTGCTTCACACACATGCAGCTGTGTCCTCTGTAGCCTTTGGCCTTGTGGCAGCAGCCAGGAGAGTAACTAGACACCTCACTAGCTGAGGTTCAGGGCCAATGGTTTGACACCCAACCCTCCAGGGCCAAGTTCCTGGGTCAAAGGGCAAAAGGTCTGCATTTCTCTGGGTGACACCTGAGCTGGGGAACTGTGTCCACCCCCAACGCTTTAACGCGCAAATGCACTCACCATATTACTGTAACATAAAGAGAGAGTGGATGTAAATATGCCTGCATGAAGACAAACACACACACTCACATGCCCTCGATGACCTTGCAGCCCTCCTCAGGCATTCTGCCACCTCCTAACAAAGCACAAGAATTTATGACACTGTCGTTTAACACCGCTGACACCAGCCATGTGCAGGAGGAGAGTTTGTGTGCGTGTGAGGGACAACCTGATCATTATCAAATATGGCTGATATTTGCACCCTACATCATGAGCCAAATGATCCCTCTATCCAATGTCAACATTGTCAATAATAGTCAGACATTGTAGAAAGACATTAGGCGCCTTGCCTGTATGTGTTTGACACACACTGACATTCTCCGATAAGCCTTTCAGGGACACAATAATCTGGTGCCCCTGATAACCCCATAAAAAACACTTACTTTACTGTGTGTGTGTCTGTACAAGCATGTCGACCAAATGTGTGTGTTAAATGTAAAGACAGAAAGGTCCAGGGTGTGCTGACAAACAAGGGGAGTGTAAATAAACCGGTGAATGGCATACTTGTCTTGCAATTTCTTCCCTCTGTGACCGAGACCAGGCTCTGCGCTGCTTCCTCTCCTTTTGGCTCTAAATCATTCAGTGCTGGAAGGCCTTTCAGGGGCCGCAGGAGCCCGGCCGTTTCATTACAATGGGTACAAAACCCCTGCTAATATATCCAAGCATGCAGGCCTTCTCACTAGCACAACATGGCCCCCTGCCAAAGCAGCCCTCATGTAGCCTAGCTCGCCTACCACTGCAGGCATTCCTGCTCTGCTGTAACTCAGCCCACAGACTGGCAGCTAATTCTAGACGGCCTGCGGCCACAGCAGCCTCCTGCACTGCCAGGATCCAAACAACAAGGCACTAACAGCTACCTGATGAGTGTTGACGAATGACTTGTTTTATCTGAAAAAAACAACAACAAATAACTTTTAGGATTAAGCAGTTAATAGAGGGTTCGGAAAATACCGTTTTTTACTGTGGAATGCAATAGTAAACAAAAGTGTTGGTCATGGGGATTTTCCATATTCAGTATAATCATGCATCCTTACATAAGTGACTTAAAAAAGCAATTCTAGCTCACTATCCTGGGAGAAGAGTGAAAAAGCCTGATTTAAGCAGAAAAATGTAAGAAATTATCATGTAAGAAAACATTTATTTCCCTGGGAAAATGTACTGTATTATTATGATTTAAGGATGTTAACAAAAAGGTTTTTTCGCAATAGATTAACGTTTCCTAACAAAAAGTAAAGTAATTCCAGTATATTTGTGCCCCATTTTTAAGAACATTTTAAGAAAATTGGGATATTACCCGGATTATTCTTATTGTTACCAGTATCATAGCAACATTTAATATCTTCCTATGCCTAAAATAGATACATTGTTGGTTCAAGTCGCTCACTTCTGCCTCAGGGAAAATGTTGTGGTCATTTTTTTAAACCAAATGATACATGACCAATTGAGATAGGATCATGCATTACTGAGACAAATCCCTTACTTTTCAGTTGCCAGTTTTCTACAGCTGGTGATGAAATGAAGAACAGACCAGGAAGAAATAGCCATGAGAAAACTATGTGACCCGAAGTTCACATCTAGTGCCAGGCTAAGGAATCTGCTCTGGTTTTGAATTGCTTCTCTCACAATGTTGCTCCTCTGAGTTGTTGACTTCCTCCAGGCCCAACCGTGCAATCGTCAGCAGAGATTAGATTCCAGGTTTGTGCTCAGAGGCATGAACTCTCATGTAACTTTAGCAGCCTGGGCCAATTCTCAAACGCAGCAGCCAGCGTGACCAAAACACCCCCCAGAAATAGCTCTTGATCCCATTCTGAGCGCTGGCCAAGTCAGATTCCCCAAAGAGATGCTAAAGAACAAGAGATTGGGAACACACCATGCTCACAACCCCCAAAGTCCATCAATCATTATTCTCCATACAAATAGAGCATTCAGATGGATACAAAGTCAGTCAATAGGCAGCACACGAGGAGTCTGGAGTGTATCCGGTGAGGGAAAAAGAACCAGCCAGCCGAACAGAGGAGAACTATAGTTCGAGAGAGTCATCTACATCTGCAACGCTTCATTAATTCACCAGGCGCTCTGATTCGGGCTCAATCAACGAGAGGCCTGTCAAATCTCTAGGACTGCAGATAAAGTGCTGTCTGCATGGCCTCATATTTATGAAGAGAAGATGGGACTAAAATAGTAGAGTTCAACACTGTGGGTGCACTCCCTGTATTTTGTACTGAAAGACTCTGTTAAAGCTATCATCAAAGGAAATGATTCCCAAAGAGGCGTAGGGTACATTGACAAAAATGTAGCGAGGCAACCAATGATGTGGTATCCAATAACACAGATGCTGTAAAGATATGGCTCGCTGGATGCTAATAATAATGCTATTACCAACAAGCGTATGTTTAGTGAGGCAGGTACAGCATTTCCTCTTCTGTTCTTTTGGCATTTGTCCATGAAGCATTGAAAGATAGCTGAGTTGTTGAGGCTAAAAACAACTGGGATGCCCTTTCAGTAATAAATGGAGGTGCAATATAATTTGAATACTCATTAAGCCAAAACCTTTTTAAAGCATAATTCTCATACATAAACCTTAAACCAAGGCAGATATTTTTATCGTAATTTATTTTAACAGAAGATAATAATTAATAATTAATGATGCACTAATTTTCCCTTATAGGCAGATATATAATTACAGGTTGTGAGTGGACATCAACTGTCTGGTATTTGAGTGTATATTAACTGTAACAAAATTGTAAAGGTACATTTTATCTGACATATCAGTGGATATATAGAAAAGCTTTAATACAAATTGGTTGGTTATCACCCGTGTGTCTTTACAGCCCCATTTAACTCTTTAGCGCAGGGATGGGATACTGAATGCAGGGCGGAGGGAGCGCCCACAACACGTCTACCAGGAGAAGGAGTGCAGTGTTATTCTGCAGCCGATACAAGCTGAGTTTAAGAAAATACGATGCACACACAGACCATTTCTGTAGGTATAGGAGGTTTCTGTCTTTAACCTTGCTACCATTCCCTTTGAACTGCCCACTGCACCCACAACTAACACACACACAGACATCCAGTAATGAGCGTTCCCTCTTTGATGACACGTAGCCGGGCTTGTTGCTCTTTTTTGTTGCAGTGAAGTGTGGGATGGCGTCGCCAAACCCACAGGAATCAATTGCAAAGTCAACAAGCAGCAGCGAGGGAGGCAGTTCCGGAGCGGGGAGGGAGGAGAGAAAAAAACAACACCTCTGCTCCCGCTTCTCATTTCACAGCCAACAGTCAGGGTACCAGTAAACCCCCACTATCACAGACCTGCTGCTCTCATTAAACAGAATCGTATTACAGCATGTTAAGGAGGCACAGGTCTTTAAATGGTAGCAAGATAGCAACATTCATTATTTATTTTTGAAAAGGTAGACAGCTCAGGGAAAATAAGAAACCCTCCTGGTAACAGAAACTCTGAACAAGATTTCTTCAATGTTACAACTGCTGAACAAGCAACTCAAGCCTCTCATCTGCTTACCAAGCATGAAAGGCTCTTATGTTACCAGTGCATTTCATATGGAGTGCAAAATAGGACTGAAATGTATCCAAAGGTGCAGGCTGAAATAGGCTAAATTTAATTAGCCTTGTGTGCTATGATTAGTGCCTTTCCTGTACCCGTACACTGAGAGCCATTCGGTACTGGTTTAATCCTAATCCTACAAGCAGAGTCTCTCAGGACGGAGAGTTTTGCTGAGCCACATGTGATGTCAGAGAGAGCCAGGGGTGTGTTGGAGTCAATGAGGATCAGGCAGTTTAATCAGAAGCCTATCAAACCTGTGTTCTTGTCACAGGCAGAATTGTTTTCGGAAGTAATAGAACACCATAAAAGGTTTCAAACGTTTCACTTGGCCACATAATAAGTATTTCCTTAAATATATAGGAACAAGTTTAAACTACTTCGGATTTCAACGGTTATATTTCATGAGGAAAGGATATTTTAAAGCTTATTTCATGCCTTCATTCCCGCACTAAAACTGTGGCTGTGAACACTAAAGCTAAAGTATTATATTTCGTTCAGCATACCCAAACGATTCAGCCTCGCTTTGTGCTCCTACAACTACAAATGGCTGTTGCGTGCTACAGAAAAGTGTTGTCAAAAGTTGTAATTATAGGCTCAGCTCAAGATGTGCCAATTGGTTCAAACTACCATGTTGCCACATCAGAGAGAACAAAAAGTCGGAAGTTAGAAAAAAACAGACTGAGCTTATTAAGAGACAGGGAGCCGTGTGCTGGCTGTCATTATTATGCCGTCGGTGTTGACCAGAGTTGTCAACAATTTCCAAACACACAAGTAAATCAAAAAGTGCAGAGAGAGCACTCCAATTAATTTGAGTTAATTCCGCTTAAACATTGCTGGCTATGAATCTGTTTATTTGTATCTGCAGACACCGGAAGAGCAGCTTTAATTAGCATGCCTTCAAGGCGAGAGTTTATAAAAATAACCTTTGAAAACCCACCAATTTAAGAAGTTCACAGCTCTCTGTCTGAGCTGCAGTCACAAGTCAATGGATATTCTTTCTTCTCGGGAATGCCTGTTGAATTCCTCCTGGCTCATGTCTCTCTGAGTTTAACTAATTAGGGACACTTATATGGAGAGATATGATGAGACAGCCCAAGCTCTGGTCTGCTCCTATCGAACAGAACAGACTGGAAGAAACTCAGCTAGGATTGCTATTTCACTCCCTTTTACCATCTTAAACTTAGTACTTTTATAGGTTTAGCTGTAGTAAGCATAAGCATAACTCGCTGTCAAATAAGTCTGTTGATCCTTTGATTGGTAAACATTTCAAAAGCTGTAATTGGCGCTTAAGGTGTGCGCAACCGCAAAAATCTGCCTAAAGTGACTGGCTGAAAGACAATGATTGGCCCTCGAGCATCGTCCAATAGAAATGTAAAGGAGAGACTGAATGGAGCAGTTGACAAAAATCAGGAAGGGAACGGAAGTTAGAACGAGCGGAGGTGTGAATGAGTCCTGTTTGTTTTTTTTGCCTTTACCTGTGGTTCTGCTGGTGGAAGGCCCCCCCTCCTCCTGAGGTTTGCACGCGAGCATCTGTCTGTGCAGATTTAGTGCCTCAGTGGAATGTACAGCATTCCCTTGAACACCGTCTCCTGAAGCGCCACCGAGGCTTTCCCCGAGCGCCTCCGGAACGGCGCCACTGCCGCCCCCAAGGTTCCTGCCGCCCTGACCCACGTCCCCCGCCCTGCTGGGCCTCCTCTGGGGCTCAGCTCTGTGGGGAACCAGCAGACGGACGGCGGATCGCTGAGAGGTCTCAACTTCATCGTCCTCAGGGATTGGATTGTACCAGATCTCGCCTTCATCATCTGCGTCATTCTCCTCAGCCGGGTCAATGCTTCGAGGATGAGGGGACACCTTGGCCTCACCAATACTTGCCTGAATAAAAACAGAAGTTTAGAGATAAACTTTGTGGAAAACAGAAAAGAAAGCATGGTGCCACCTAAACTGAAACACACGACATAACTTTGTTGAAACCTAAGTCCTATTCTTAAAGAATGTTGGAAATTACATCTACTTGCTTAATGAATGGTAGTATGATGAGAATATTTCTACAATTTTCATTTATTTATTCTTAATAAAAATCTACCAGCAGCACCTGGTTAGCTTAGCTTAGCATAAAGACTTGAAACAATAGCAAGCAGCAAGCATGGCTCTATCCAAAGTTAACATAATCCACCTATGAGCATCTTTAAAACTCACTGATTTTAACTTTTTTGTTTGATAAATATAAAGGGCAATTTGTTGTGTCACAGGGGTAATCATCCGACAAGTAAAACCCCCTAAAATCAGGAAAACAAATCCACATTCTTCGAAAATCCACATTCTTCTTTGGGTCTAACCTGAGGCAGGTGTAGGCGGGCCGGCCGTGATGGAGCTGCCCCTGAGGGTCTCAGGTGGTCAGGAGAGGGACTGGGGGGAGGTGGCAGCTGATTGGGCCCCTCCTCTTCAGCCCCCAGCATTCCTTGCAGCTCGTCCTTGGTGCACTGATTCTTCCCAAGGGAGCTTTGCTGCAGCCAGTTGCGTTTCTTGGAGACGGTAATTGTGGTGAGCGGTGGCCGCCATAACGATGACTCATTGGCCCTGCCCACCTCCCGGCCATTAGCACAGGGGGTTTGGACATTCTCAATGAAAGCTAAGGGTACGATGGAAAAATGAAAAAGTGTGAGAATAACAGCTTATTGGCATAAAAAACAACTTCTCATTGAGCCAAAGTCAACCAGTGATTTTGATATATCATCTCAGACAGTTCATGTCCTATCAAGTTTAAGAACACATCTGTATCAAGAAACCACATGTGTGAAAACACAGAGAGAAGTAATTAGGCTTTATTGAGTTATCCGGAGTTATCCATGTCTTATGCCTTATTGAGTCAGTCAGAAAAAAGAGCCATGTCTTTGTTTTGTCTCATCGATTGTGTTAGCCTTTGTTTTATATCTTTTGGATAGACTTTCAATCCCACCACCACAGACACCCTAGGGCTCCTCCCATTTCGGGATCGGAATATGTTGGCTTTGAATTTGAAAGAGATCACAGGGAGTAGGAGGGATTGAGCACACACATATCTTCCATCAGAGCAAAAAAAAGAACAAGAAACCACCAGCATTACAGCTGTGAAATAAAAGAGATGGGAGCGAGTGTGTGTGAGGGGTCGACGGTAAGTATAGCCCATGGCGCTATGTGCAGTGAAAAAGGGACAAATAATAGGGACAATGACCTGGTCCCTTGATACATCAAAAAAAGAGCTGACTATCTTGAAGTGTGTTAATGTATGTGTTTTTTTTTTTCAGATTGTAAGAATTTTTTGTTTACATCTTTACTCAAAAAGCACCTTTGCAAATCATCTGACATGCTTTTATTTTCACAAGGGATGATGAGTAGATTTGGCTAGAGAAAAACAACCTTTCAGCGTGTGTGTGTGTGTGCGTGCGTGCGTGCGTGCGTGCGTGCGTGTGTGACGGGCAGAGTGAGGTGCTGAGGGCAGGGTCTTGCTCTAACATGTAGGCTTATGTAAAAGACTGTTTTGATCCTCTGCGGCTCCCAGACGAGCCCCTTCGCATGCTATAATGACAACTTCTCCTTTCCTAAAGGAAATGCTTTTTCAAGCACGCCAGGGTACATCCACTAAATTATAGACTTGGGAATATTTTCACTTTACAAAATCGAAATCTAACAGAGGGCATCTAGTAAGTGCATGTGTTACGGTGCTATTAAAAAGTGTGAATGAGTCAGAATAAACCACAAGTTCTTTTTTTCGATTAATCCAGAGGGAAGGGAAGAGAGCTGAAGTTCATAAAACATCACGTGGTTTCAAATTGCATAACTTGTACTCAGTCGATTGAGACTACGTTTTTTTCAGTTTTTGTTTAGCTTGGTTGCTTTTATTGACAAAGCCTTGAACTGGGATTTATTTTTCCCTGGGAGTCAACCAGTCCTTCTCTCATTGCTCTCCTGTGATCTACAAGGTGACTTTATGAAGAAACTCACTGCCATCTCATATGATGTAAAATCTTACAAACACCAACTTTAGAGTTCTTCTCACCACAACAAAACACGTCTTGAACTTTTTTTTCTCTACTTGTTTTCCCTCACTTGAGAAATATGAAAGTTTGATATAAAGTGGGATGAAATTGCTTTTGTTAGGATGCCATTCCTCTGCACTCCAGCTGATTATATGAGACACTGAGTTCATAGAACAGCCTTCAGTGCTAAGAACAGAAGTCACTTTTGAAGCATTCTGAATAAAAAAAAAAGACAATACCAGCTTGAACTACAAGACAAAAACCATCAGTCTCTCTGTCATCCATTTCCTTTTAATTTAAACAGACCTCCTGTCTGGCTATAAAGCACATCTTTGCCTACTTGACCCTTTCTGCTCTGTTTAATTTAAGAAAGGTTTCCAGCCAGAAACGTGAGCCAGCTGTGTGTTTGCATTAGCCTGGACTATGTTGTGTTTGAGGACCTGGAGCTCAGTGGCTTTAACATGTGCTGAATATTGAGTGAAACATGAAGAATGTTTCTGCTGCTATACTGAGCCGCCACATGAGTTAATGTGTAGGAATGAACTGGAAGTTATAATCTGCTGTGGTGGTTGGTTTTCAGCTCTTCTGGCCTTGAGTTCCTTGGTACCCTTTAAACACTGTCTAAAACTGTGTTTTACTTAAATACGTGAGAAAACCATTTTATTGTAATTGGATTTGAAATGGATTGTTTTGTTATATAAAGTAGCTTTGTAGAAGAGTTGACAAAAGAATGACTTAAACTAATGTAGTGTAATATAATATAACTAGCATATTTTTAGCCCATAATCTTTAGTTTCTTCCCAACTCAAATCCAATCCAATAAAATCAAATAAGGGTTAACCCTAAAAACACTTAGTCACTTAGAGGCATGCATACACACAGATACAAACTGATGCTAAAAAATGTTAAACACTAGCTGGGGGGAAGAATGAACTACATTGTGGGAAAAAGGTAGAACAAATATCTTTAAGACCAAGACGGATCCAAAAATTGCAGACTCTGCCGCCTACACTGGATCTGGCAACGTGAGATTATAGATAGAGATGTCCCGATCCGATCACGTGATTTTCAAAAGATCGGAATCGGGAGAAAAAAAATCGGGGATCGGGATTTTTTATTTATTTATTTATTTTTTATAAATACTTTTTTTTACATTTTGTATTCAATGTTACAAAACAAAAATGACCACGTTCAAGTCTTAAAGTTATCCTGAGGCCTTAGTTTTGGTTTCAAATTACAGAACATCATGTATGTGTTGCTTCTTTGGGGCTTGTTTTCATAGACCTGGTTGCTTATTTCTCTCAAATCTTGCAACAGAGTGGGCAGGGCGCAGTGTCTAATTGTAGCAGTAAGCTAACAAGTACTGAAAGCTTTATTTTGTTTTGATCCAATGCTGCACAACTGAACTGATCCAATGCTGCTGTGAAAGAAAGAAGCTATATCCATGTTGGATAGAATATCCAATTTAAAT